TGGATGAGTGCAGGGTGGGGGGTGGGGGGGAGAGCACTGGGCCCTGTGCGAAGAGGGGAGGTGGGCTCTGAGCTCTGGTGGGGCGGCAGAGCCCGGGCTGGGTGGTGACTCAGTGACATTGTCACCGAGACCCGGGACTCCTGGGAGGCCGTCACTCCCCTTCACCTGCCAAGCCAGGCCCTCAGAGTGGGCGAGATACTGTGTTTCTGCAACGATGCTCTATCCACTGAGCCACACCAGTGAGGGCAAAGTATATTTACTTTTATACTGAAATCACTCAATGTTATTTTCAAGTAGATTAGAAAACAGAGGTAAGCAAAAGAGCAATGGCTCTAGATCAAAAATCTTCAAGCTTCTTTAACTTTATGCCACCAGCAATCAGGTTTTGAGCATGCTTTCCCGATTTATTTATTCATATGCATTATAAGTGCAAATGATGAAAGACAACACCATAAAAAAGAAGGCCTTGGTGTCCTGAAGTCCAGCGGAGTGCCGTGCACTGCTCACATCCGGCGACATTGACCGTGGGGTCTGAGAAAGCTGGCGGGTCTGTTTTGCGGGCACTGGGAGGCTCCTGCCGGGAACACCACACACATTTCTCGGCTGGATGAGTGCAGGGTGGGGGGTGTGCAGGGTGGGGGGTGGGGGGGAGAGCACTGGGCCCTGTGCGAAGAGGGGAGGTGGGCTCTGAGCTCTGGTGGGGCGGCAGAGCCCGGGCTGGGTGGTGACTCAGTGACATTGTCACCGAGACCCGGGACCCCAGGGAGGCCGTCTCTCCCCTTCACCTGCCAAGCCAGGCCCTCAGAGCAGGCGAGATACTGTGTTTCTGCAACACGGGGAGAGCACTGGGCCCTGTGCGAAGAGGGGAGGTGGGCTCTGAGCTCTGGTGGGGCGGCAGAGCCCGGGCTGGGTGGTGACTCAGTGACATTGTCACCGAGACCCGGGACTCCTGGGAGGCCGTCACTCCCCTTCACCTGCCAAGCCAGGCCCTCAGAGTGGGCGAGATACTGTGTTTCTGCAACGCTGCGGCCGCTGCAGCCGCTGCCAGTGTTGGAAAAAGCCCAGGATCGTGGAAAGCCAAGACCGATTGTGATCGTGGCCTATCTAGGGAGATGCTCAGAACAGCGGCCTGGCCCCCAAGTTGGTGTGCCCCAGGTCTCACAGCTAGTTTGTGGTTAGCAGGAACCCTTCATGCCAGATCATGGGGGCACCTATAGGCATTTAAATAAAAGTGTTTAGGAAACCCAGTTTGCCGAATGAGTTAGTTCCCAGTAATTCAAGCCAGTGGGGCTATTGACATGATGATTCAGGAGAGGGACCCTCCCCTCCCTAGGATATCTGATGAGCGGCCCCGCCCAGGCCCAGAGCTGGTCGGTTTCAAAGGTTCCTTCTCTGGCTTTGGGAGCTGTTGGGCTCTAGTGACGTTCACTGAACCACGCTGATAGAAGGGTGGAGCTCTCACCCTAAGGCTCACATCCCTCTGGTGTGTGTGTGTGTGTGTGTGTGTGTGTGTCCATGTGTTTATGTGCGTCCATGTGTGTCTTAGCACAAAATAAGCATGTTTATTTATTTATTTATAAAATATACTTCCATTGATTTCAGAAAAGAAGGGAGAGGGAGAGAGAAACATCAATGATGAGAGAGAATCATTGATCGGCTGCCTCCTACACACCCCAACCTGGGGATCGAGCCTGCAACCCGGGCACGTGCCCTGACTGGGAATTGAACAGTGATCTCCTCGTTCCTAGGTTGACGCTCCACCACTGAGCCACACCGGCCGGGCACAATAAGTGTGTTTAGGTCACTGCCTGGTGCATAGTAGGTTTCAATAAATGTTGTTCCTTTGCCCTTCCTTTGTGCCTTTGTCCTGGCTGCCGCCTTTCTCTCCAAATCCCTAGACAGACCCATTCACATCCTTCGCTGCCTCGCTCGCATCCCTGCAGTCGCTGGGGCAAACACTCCTTCCCGGGAATCCCTCCAACACTTCTGTCTGGACCTCGCAGTTTAGGACTTAATTACAGCTGGCCTGGCATTGTCTGCTAACTGTTTCCCTGTGTTGGTGCTGCCCCACCCCGTCGCCATTGGTCTGTAAGCACCCCTGGCCTGAAGCGAAGCGGGAGATGCGCTGGACCTAGGAGGGCCGAGCTCAGCCCTCCGTCTGCTGCGTCCTGCACAAATGGTTTAACCTCTCAGCTTCAGTTTTCCCCTGCACCACGGAGATAATGACAGCATCTCCCAGGGCCGTTGCTGGGGATAATGGGTGTGAACGTGTTGATGGAAATCACTGTACAAATGTACACGGCTGTTATCATCACCTCTGCTGAATCCGGCCGAGGCCCCGCGCACCTCCCCTGCCTGGTGGAGTGGAGAAGATAAATATCTGATTGATTGAATACAGAATAGCTTCATGACAGCTCCTGTTACAGGCTCCAGCGAGCACGGGTTTGAGCCTCATCATGCAATTACTCCCTTCATTGACAATGCAAATTCTCCTCCCTGGGGACCGGAGTACCCTCAGCCTCCAGCTGATAAAGCCCACGCTGCTGCCCCTTGGACAGAGCTGCACCCCCCCAAACGACCCCAGGCTGCACCCCGGCACCCTCGACGGGCAGCACGCGGGCCAGTGGAAGCTGCTTTGACCAAGGTGGAGGTTAGGGACGGGCATTCCGGGGACCCTACCCTGCAGAAGACCCGGCAAGCACACAGGATCACCGGTCCCTTTTCTGTGAAAGGTATCGCAGCAGCCGTGGAAGCGCACGCACAGCATGTCTCCTGCCACCCTTTCCACACGCGGGGAAGGAGTGCGCCCAGCAGCCGCCCGCAGGCGGGGGACGGAGCCGCGGGCTCGTGGGGAGGCTTTGATAAGGAGCCAGGCGCCTCCTTTCCCCCTCCATGTGGAGAACTCTGGTGTCGGCTCTGATGGCGAATGCCACGCACAGCTCGTCTTTTGTTAGTCTCGCGAACAACGTTATGGGTTATAATTGGGGCAATTATGGGCTGCTCGAGGAAGCGAAACACAGATGTTTAAGCCCAGGATCGGGGTATGCAAGTCCACAGCAGCTTGCTTTAAATAGCCCATTTCCCGAAGCATCCTGCCTGACTTGAAATCCCCCCAGAACTTGCCCATGTTCAGAAGGAGACGGGGGAGGAGAGGATGGGTGATGGAGGGAAAGGAGAGACACGCAGGGAGAGAGACGCACAAAGAGAGAAGGAGAAAGAAAAGGAGGCAGAGTGAGCAGAGTTTGGGTGACTTCTGCACATCCTCTCCCACAGGACCCACTGGGAGAGACCTGTGGTGGGAGATGGGCAGGAGGAGAAAGAGGCAAAGAAAGAGAAGAGACCCAGAAGGACTCAGGGTCCGGGAGACCAAGGTCATCCCAGCAGAAATCGACGTGGAATTCACACAGAGCGAGCGCGACCAGCCGTGTACTACGGGTCCCGCACAAAGCTCCGACTTCCCACGTCATTACTCACAATTCCTATTCAGTGCATATGGGAGAAGGGTTCCCTCAGGGCTGAAAACCCCAATCCAAACCCACCAGCCTGAACACACTGTGAGGGAAGGGAAGAAAGGAAGTCAGCTGCACAGAGAAATCACTCGGGATGGGGGGGCTTCACAGGGCTGCCCTGAAAGCCAGCCGCCCAATAATAGCTCAAATATGTTGTTATATCTTCTTAAGTGAGAAAATATTGTTTTCTAATAAGACAGGTGGGTGTCCAGCTCATACCATCATATGTTTAGTCACTGCCCCTCCTGCAGCCTCACTTCCACAGTCCCCTTTCCTCAACAGACAGGAACGACAAAGTAGGGGCCACGTCTGCTAAATCAAAACTTTTCCTCATCTCTAAGTTCGGCTCTTTCTTCACCATCTGTGTTTAGGATAAAAACCTAGAGGCTCCCCCCCACCCTCCATCCGAGCATTGAAAATAAAGCGAATGAAGAAATCATCTCGCAGGGGGACAGCAGCATCCACCCTGGACAAAGGAGGGGGGCTGCGGGAGAGTCCCTGCTGCCCGGCTTTCCCCCAAGGCTCCCGGCGCCCTGGCTTGTGGCTCGGGCTGGGGTGCGCACGCATTGCCTACCTGAGAGCTGTCAGTAGCCCGGCTCCCTCGGATGTGAGGCTCGGTTCCGCCGTCTCAACCACACCAGCATATATATCCTCCTCTCCTCCTCCCCCCCATGCACAGCCCTCCCCTTCCCTGCCCACCTCGATGACACATACGCACGCTGACCCCCTGAAGCAAGTGAACAGCAGAGCCCACACTCCCTCCTGGCTGGTCCCCGCCCCGCGGGCTCTGTGCGCAGACCTGTGACATCCCAACCTCCCCATCAGCCCATTCATCCTCCAGCCCGCTTCACCTGGACCGGGCTCAGCCAGGATCCCACAGCTGCCTCCCTGGCTTCCAGAGGCGCTGTGAGGACTGACAGGCTTTTCTGGTGAGCGAGTCAGAAAGAAAGGCTCCTGGTGACAGTGACGAGGCAGACCCCCGTCCTCCAGTCTCCTTGAGCAACCTTTTTGCCTAAGGAGTAGAGAATAAGCCGGCAGAAGGAGGGGAAGCTGCCACTGGCTCAGAGGAGCCCAGAGCTGAGCGGAGCCCCCTCCTCCTGTCACGGCCCCACAGGCAGCAGCTATGCCGCCCTAGGGAGTGGCTCCACCTGCCAGGGGCCGGGTCAGGAGGCATGGCACAGGTGCCCACCGCATGGCACAGGGTAAAACATGGAGACCTTTGAGATTAAAGTGTCTGCAATTCTGGCTCAGCTATCAGAGCACATTACTGCTCTCTGAGCACGTCAGGCCCTCTGCCTGTAAAATGGGTATAACACCTTCCGGGATGGCTGTGAGTAGAAAAACACATAAGACCTTTATTTTATTTTACTTTTAAATATATTTGTATTGATTTCAGAGAGGAAGGGAGAAGGAAAGAGATAAAAACATCAATGACTAGAGAGAATCACTGAAAGCTGCCTCCTGCACGACCCCCCCACTGGGGATCAAGTCCACAACCCAGGCATGTGCCCTTGACTAGAATTGAATCTGGGCCCCTTCAGTCCATAGGCTAACGCTCTATCCACTGAGCCAAACCAGCCGGGCCATAAGACATTTAATAATTGTGAATTCTACATCCCCTCCACCCTTTTCGCATTAAATAATGCCAACAGGATCTAAAAAGCCCCTGTCAACATCCAGTGTTGCAACAGAATGCTTTTTTAAAAAAAAATGTTTTAATTGATTGTAGAGAGAGGAAGGAAGAGGGAGAGAGAGGGAAACGTCGATGTGAGAAACATCGATTGGCTGCCTCCCACATGCACCCCACCTGGGGATCAAGCCTGCAACCTGGGCATGTGCCCTGACCGGGAACTGAACCAGTGACCTTCCAGGACAGGGGATGACACTCAACCAACTGAGCCACACCAGCCAGGGCAACAGAATGCTTTTCAAGCTGCTGCTGTACTTCCAGGTGTCACCCCAAGTGCCTTGGAGTCGGAAGGTGTTGAAGGGGCTCCCCTGACTCCTTTTCTCACCTGCAAGAACGTAGCTCACAGGCAGCCCAGGCAGGGAGCCTTTAGATTCCGCAGCGTCCTTAGGGAGCACCCCCGTTCCCCGCCCTAGGGTGGGCGAATCGCACCAGAACCTCCTCCTTGGCGTTCCCAAGCTCTGAAAACATTCCAGAATCCCTGTGTTGGAGTCGATGTTGTCCAAGGGGCTCAGGCACCTTCTCATGTGACAAGTCAGGCTCGCCCATCACCCCAAGGCTGGATGGAGAAGGATGAAAGGAAGTATGGGCTCTGGCTGCTAAGAGGTCTATCTGAGGTTTCTTTTTGGGGTGGTGGAATGTTCTGGAATGAGTGCTGATGATTGCACCACGGTGAATCTACTGAAAACTACTCAGTTGTATGCTTAAGGACGGTGAGTTTTATGTTACGTGAACTATATCTCACTAAAAAAGAGGAAGAAGGAAAGCAAGCGAGCACTTGCCCTAGGTCAGTGGTCGGCAAACTCATTCGTCAACAGAGCCAAATATCAACAGTACAACGATTGAAATTTCTTTTGAGAGCCAAATTTTTTAAACTTAAACTATCTAGGTAGGTACATTGTTATTAACTTAATTAGAGTACTCCTAAGGCTTAGGAAGAGCCACACTCAAGGGGCCAAAGAGCCGCATGTGGCTCGCGAGCCGCAGTTGGCCGACCACGGCCCTAGGTGAAGAGCAACACATTCTAACAATCAAATCTCCCTCCCATCAATATTCATAGCAAAAGGGCCCAGGAGACGAGCGTACTGTGATTTTCCTCTCAGATCTCTGTTGCCGGAACCTTACACTTTGTTACTACAGGTCAAAGCCACCACTCTGTGCTCTGAGAGGTCAGCGTGACCTGTGGCCAGTTTTGCATCCTGAGATGTGTGTACTGGGGTCCCCCGTCTGGAGCTTGATTGAACACATGCCACGGCAGATGTTGCTGGTTGTCTACCCAGTACCCACACCCGTGTTCTTCCTGACTAAACAGTACCCTTGATTTTATGCTAGGTGGCAATCTGTTCTGCTAAAAGGCCACACTGTCCGGCCTTGCTTGCAGCTAAGGATAGCCAATGAGAATCAAACTGTTAATCATTGTATGGGGATTCCAGGAATGCTGTTTAAAGGGGGCCAGGTTAGCTTGGCCAGTATGGTTCAGTGGTTAAGCATTGACCTATGAACCAGGAGGTCACGGGTTGAATCCCAGTCAGGGCACATGCCCACGTTGTGGGCTTGATCCCAGGGATGGGACGTGCAGGAGGCAGCCGATCAATGATTATCTCTCATCATGAATGTTTCTATCTCTCTCTCCCTCTCCCTTCCTCTTTGAAATCAATAAAAATATATTTAAAAAATTAAAGGGGGCCAGTTTAGCTAGAAGAATCCTCTTCTTTGCCCTCTTTCCTTCCTGCCTGGAACATAGATGTGATGGCTGGAGCTCTTGCAGCCATCTTGGATCTTGAGGCAACTTTGAGGATAAAAACCATGGACTACAGATGATGGAGCATAAAGATAGAAGAATTCTGGGTCTCTGATGACGATGAAGCTGCCATACCAATTATGGATTTCCAAACTGCAACTTTTTTTTTTTTTAAAAAGAAAACACTCAAATATGTATTTCAAATATAAGTCAGGGTTCAGTTAGCTGTTGCTGCATAACCAGACACACCAAAGTCAGAGGTTTAAACAACAGCTTATTTATTTGGCTGGCGATACTGCAAATTAGCCATGTAGGATGGGGTCAGCAGGGTGGTTCTTCTGCAGTCGGCTTCAGGTTGGCTTCAAGAGGGTGGCTGGCTGTCAGCTGGGGGCACCTTGGTGTGTCTTGTCCACCATGTGCCTCTCATATCCTTTCAGCAGGCTGGTCGGGCATGAGCTCATAGGAAGGCTGGGCTGCAAGCACAAGCAAGTACAGCCAAGCGAGGCAACGGACAGAAGCATGCAGAGTCCTTGGGAGCCTAAGCTCGGAGCTGCCACTCCACTGCTTTTGCTGCATTAAGTAGCTAAAGGCAGTCACAAGGCCAGTCTAGAGCCAGGCTGGGTGGAGACTACAAAGTCACAGGACAGGGGGAGTAGCTAGACGGGCTGTTCACGGGAGCTATTGGTTGGTCACATTAATCTACCGTGCTCCCTGACATGCAGTGGAGAATCCCCTGGCACAACAGGCCTTTCTTGGAGCACCTGGTCGTGCCCTTCCAGGGTGTTCGGTGCCCAAGGGCTTTCCTCCCCTTGCAGTTGAGGGAAAGAACAAGCAAAAGTGGAAACCACTTAACTTCTCTGAACTTTTCCCCTCATTTAGCCAATCGAAGCGTTGAACCCAAAGACCTGGAAGGTCTCTTTGGGTTGCACGAGGCTGCATATTGTGGTAGGCTGTCTCCGACCATGCAGGGAGGGGAAGGCAGGAGGGAACCCAGAGAGGGAGTTCACAGCCCTGTTGTGTGGGGGTACAAAAGCCTTGCCCCTGGGAAAAGCAAGAGAGGACTAGAAAAGGTACAGACTGTGTGGTGCTCACGACCACTCAAAGGCTTTGTCCTCGGCGTCTTGCTGCTGAATCACGGTGTCTTAAAGGCCATGGCCTCCCTCCGGTGGGGCAACATGTCACCCAGCAGTGAGCTGCCCTGTTCTACTGACGGGCAGCGTGCACTTATTAGAGTCATAGGAGAGGAAAGGGCACACAGCCTTCTTTCAAGGCACTAGGAGGCGGTGGAAATTCACTTCTGTCATGCCAGCTTGCCATCCTCTTTTTAAAAAAAAATATGTTTTAATTGATTTTTTTTTAGAAATGGGAGGAAGGGAGAGGGGAAGAGAGAGAAACATTTTCTGCACACCCCCTACTGGGGACGGAGCCCACAACCTGGACATGCGCCCTGATGGGGAATCAAACCAGGGACCTCTGGGTGCATGGGATGACGCTCAACCCACTAAACCACACTGGCTAGGGCAGTGCTATCCTCTTGCAATAGAGAGGCCCAAGCCAGAATGGCGGCAAGAATTAGACTCCATTCAGTTCTGACAGGCACTCTTAGAAGCTCTTAAAACAACCACTGGAACATGTCAGTAGAGGGAGTACAGGGAGAAGAAGGCAGCCATGGCTGGGCTCTCATGTTGGACTTCGGGGACCTCCACCCACCCAGCAATTTTCCCCTCTCAAAGGGGAGAGGGTACTTGGCTGTTTGGAATTGGCTGATTAATTACAGCACCTACAGTCAATTGGTCTCCTTAGTAACCACACTAGCAGGGTCCCAGCAGCTGGAAAAGCTGCTTTTTATTTTCAAAGAGGGCAAACCCTCTACACATTTTAAAACACCTTTAATCAGAATGCAGATGGGTTTTTAAAACAGAGAGATACCCAAGTTTCTCCACAACTTTGCTTCTAAAATCTGAATGGGCTTTTGGGATATTGAGGGAAAGTTGAATTTATTAATCAGTAAGAGCTGGTTTGTTTTTTAAAATTGATTTTAGAGAGAGGAAGGAGGGAGAGAGAGAGAGAGAGAGAGAGAGAGAGAGAGAGAGAGAGAGAGACATCAATTTGTTGTTTCACTTATTTACGGTTGATTCTTGTGTGTGCCCTGACAGGGGATGGAACCCGCAGTTTTGGCATATCAGGACAACACTCTAACCAGCTGAGCTGTCCAGCCAGGGTAAAGCTAGATTTTAAGTCAGTGGTT